AGTCCTTTTTTTGATCCATGAAGTTGTGAATGCTTCGTGAATGCTGTGTGATTTCAGACGTATGACTTTGTTCGGAACTGTCATCGGAAGTGCCACTTGACGTCCGACCTCCAAGGCATGCGCCGTCGCGGCCGGGTGCGCCACAGATTTTTTGGGCAGAACTTGGCGTTCGAAAGTTGACATTGTGATGGTGACCGAGGTCATTTTTTTAAAGGTTCCCTTAGTTCTCTTGTTTAGAAGGTTGACTTAGTTGACTTGCTCCGAACAGATTGGCACTGTCTAGTGTGAACTTTAGACAGATGAGAAAGCCAAGTCGTTGACAGCGCAAGAGCTTCCGACCCGAGGTGCCTCAGCGGATTACCTGGGCACAGTTCAAAGCCTCGAGGTTGCCGGCAGTCAAGGCCTGTACCAAAATTGCAGTTGAAGCCTTCGGTGTGTCAGTTTGAAACAAATCATGTTTGTCATTCATCGCAACTCCCTTGACTGGCACATTTGACATGACTGACCATTTTGCCTTAGAAATATATGAGCTACAGCTACATTAAAACCTTCAAATCCTGTCCTTCCATGTCCTCTTCAACCTTTCTAATTTCTTGCTACAGGCCAAAATTGAACGCTGCTGGGAATTGCTGGTTGCTGACGACGAGGACATTGGATCGCATGAGCCATATACTGACCACTGACCCAACAATTGGATACAATCAGCACAATTCAATCACCCTCATTTGCCTGTCACACATATCTAGCTGCTTGATTTGCTTGTTGTTTTCATTACAGGCCAGGAATCTTCTCACTATGCGGCAACGGCTTGGGTGTGGTCCTCAGTTGTTTCGTCGACTGTGCAAGAGAGCAGTCCCGCAGTCGCGGTTTTAAAAATCTGCAGGCAATCTATGGATCCTGGACTGGTCCGCCTGCGTGAGGAAGGGAGTTCCTTTTTTGACTGCGTTACATCGCTTCCATATGTGAATTGGCAAGGACAAAAGGTGAAGTTGCATTGTTTGACTTTCCTGATTTGCTTGAAAGTCTTTTTCACGGAAAATGAACGTTTTTCGATGTTTTTCCCGAGAGCGTCTGAGCGCAGGGTTCTTCCAATAGTGGGATTCTGTCTCTCATCTTCTCATCTTCACATCTTCTCATCTTCTCATCTTCTGCTCATCTTCACATCTTCATATCTTCTCATCTTCACATCTTCACATCCTCACATCTTCACATCTTCTCCTCTTGCCCTCTTGCCCTCTTGTCCTCTTGCCCTCTTGTCCTCTTGCCCTCTTGCCCTCTTGCCCTCTTGCCCTCTTGCCCTCTTGCCCTCTCCTTCTTTTATATTTCTCTTCTGAAAGCGGGGGGCGGGGGCAGTGCCAACGACACGCACGAAACGCAACCCTTTCGCACGAAATGAGGTTCGATCGCCCAAAACTAAGGTAGAATTGCGATTTCCGGGTTCCCGTTGCAACCCTTTCGCACGAAACGAGGTTCGATCGCCAAAAACTGAGGTAAAAGTGCGAGTTCAACTTGTCCCGCGCAACCCTTTCGCACGAAACTGAGGTAAAATTGCGATTTCCGGGTTCCCGTTGCAACCCTTTCGCACGAAACGAGGTTCGATCGCCAAAAACTGAGGTAAAAGTGCGAGTTCAAGTCGCCCCGCGCAACCCTTTCGCACGAAATGAGGTTCGATCGCCAAAAACTGAGGAAATATTGCGATTTCAAGGTGTCCGGCGCAACCCTTTCGCACGAAATGAGGTTCGATCGTCAAAAACTGAGGTAAAATTGCGATTTCCGGGTTCCCGTTGCAACCCTTTCGCACGAAATGAGGGCCGATCGCCAAAAACTGAGGTAAAATTGTGATTTTTCTGCGTGTACAAAGCTTCTGTGTGCTGTGTGTCAAAGCATCTGTGTAAAAGCGTCTGTGTAAAAGCGTCTGCTTAAAAGCTTCTGTGTGCTCTGTGTAAAAGCGTCTGTGTGTAAAAACGTCTGTGTGTAAAAGTGTCTGTGTGTCAAACTGTCTGTGTGTAAAAGCGCCTGTGTGTAAAAGTGTCTGTGTGTAAAAGTGTCTGTGTGTAAAAGTGTCTGTGTAAAAGCGTCTGTGTGTAAAAGCCTCTGTGTGTAAGAGCGTCTGTGTGTAAAAGCTTCTGTGTGTAAAAGCTTCTGTGTGTAAAAGCTTTTGTGTGTAAAAGCGTCTGTGTAAAAGCTTCTGTGTGTAAAAGCGTCTGTGTGTAAAAGCTTCTGTGTGTAAAAGCTTTTGTGTGTAAAAGCGTCTGTGTAAAAGCTTCTGTGTGTAAAAGCGTCTGTGTGTAAAACTGTCTGTGTGAAAAAGCCTGTGTGTGTAAAAGCGTCTGTGTGTAAAAGCCTGTGTGTGTAAAAGCGTCTGTGTGTAAAAGCTTCCGTATGTAAAAATGTCTGTGCGCAAAAGCTTCCGTACTGTGTGTAAAAGCGTCTCTCTGTAAAAAGTTCTGTGTGTGAAAAGCTATACAAAAGATACGATGCAAACTACTGTCTTGTACTTGTGCTATATTGTCTTGATACTCCTCTTCTCGACTGCCTATAACACATCTTTAATATATTGTTTTGTAATATGGTGTCTCCATACTAACAAGAGAAGACTCTGCTCCTCTACGCTCTCGGGCCATCCGTCGTCTAGTTCTCAATTCAGTCTTGAAGTACCCAAGTTATTTCAGGGCATCCAACAAAGTTCAGGAAGCCGACAAGCTGATCGCAGAACGGGTAAGAGTGCTGGAGGATGCTGGAGGTGCTTGGTCTCGTCGACTCATTAAACTTATGCATTGACTCAATGAGATGAACTTACGTGTTGACTGATGATGACTCTTTAAAACCCATGCATTCGTATGACTCTTTTCAGTGCATGAGCTGAGTGGAGAAGAAAAAATTGATTTGGATATCTCCGCATGCGATCCATCGTCTTACAGAGGGGCTTGGCGAAACATTGCAAGTGTATGCCAGACTCCTTTGTTCAACTTGCAGAGGTGCCGCAACAGCGACGCGTCAGGCAGCACGGACCAGAACCTTGTTGTATTTATGATACAATCGAAGGAAGTTTAGAACTCAAACTTCCGACAGTATGGACAGATGGAAAAGCAGAGGTGGGAAGAGTCAGAGAGGAGAAGAGCAGAAGAGAGAAGATCAGAGAAGAGAAAGAGTCAGACGAAAGAAGATGCAGGTGCGCGAAAAGGTAGGAAAGTCGCGATTCACGGTGTTTTCCAGTGATTTGTGGCTGCGGAGGGTCGAAAAGTAGGCTCGCTAAAGCGGCGGGTGCGGAGCAATCTGGCCAGAGGAGAGATGAAAAGTGAACACTTTTGGAAGTTGAGATGTCGAAAAAGTGCACGCCATTTTGTGGCGCGAAGCACGTTTCCAAGTCAAAATGCACAAAACACACCAGTGTCGGAGCGCTTTCGGAAGTTGAGATATCGAAAAAGTGGACGCCGTTGTGGCGGGAAGCACATTTCGAAGTCAAAATATACAAAGCACACCAGGTTCGGACCACTTTTTGAAGTTGAGATGTCGAAAAAGTGCACGCCATTTTGTGGCGCGAAGCACGTTTCCAAGTCAAAATGCACAAAACACCTCAGTGTCGGAGCGCTTTTGAAAGTTGAGATATCGAAAAAGCGGACGCTGTTGTGGCGGGAAGCACATTTCGAAGTCAAAATACACAAAGCACACCAGGTTCGGACCACGTTTTGAAGTTGAGATGTCGAAAAAATGCACGCGATTGTGGCGCGAAGCACGTTTCCAAGTCAAAATGCACAAAACACCTCAGTGTCGGAGCGCTTTTGGAAGTTGAGGTATCGAAAAGTGGACGCCGTTGTGGCGGGAAGCACATTTCGAAGTCAAAAAATACACAGCACAGCAGGTTCGGACCACTTTTTGAAGTTGAGATGTCGAAAAAGTGCACGCCGTTGTGACGCGAAGCGCGTTTCCAAGTCAAAATGTTAAAAGCACCGCATGTTCGGACAACTTTTGGGCGTTCAGATGTCGTTTCGCGTGGCAGGTGCAGGGGATTGTGCACCTTGTCAAAAATCAGCAAAACGTGAGGGTTTTGTAACGGTTTCAAAAGCGTTGGCAAGCGTGGGGCATTTGAAGAAGATCTGGAAAGATGCATTTCGCGTGGCAGGCGCAGTACAAGAGACATGTTCATCAGAGATGTTAGGAGGTCAGGGTGCTGATTTCATGAGAGAGGTTTCAAGCGCTTTTACTCACTGTTTTTTCTCTCCAGGCAGGGTAGCGGCCGGGGCGTCTGGACTTTGAGCACCGCATGGTACGACGTGGCCCCTAGCATGGTTTTCACCAATGCTTACCCTGGCTTTAAGCCAAAATGTAATTCACGAGATTCCATCGTGCAAATAAGTGAACGATATGTATGATGCAATCACAAATCAGGATGAAAGAAGCAAACCCAGCAAAGTGGGACAATTCAACCGGGCCGAGCATTCAGCTGATGACTCATGCCAAACAAATCGTCAACTAGCAGTGGATATCTCTGCACCAAATTTCTTTAAACAAACCAAATTGACAACACCTTCAGTGCTCACAAAATGGCCGTCGCACTAAAAGGTTCGTGCAAGGAAAAGGGGTTGAAGCATTGTGGCCACTGAACAAAAGGCTTCTACTTTGCAACTGCTTCCAGCCAAATCCGTAATCCAAAAGAGGACGTCTCATCAGAAAACCGGTGCATGCTGCAGATAAACACAGCGCTCTAGCCATATAGCCCGCATCATAGCCAAAGGTGTTGGCCGAATAGCATTAGTCACTGGGTAATCAAAAGCAATGGTTTTCAGAGCAGAGAGGTATGGAATGGGCCAGATCTGGCCAAGGGCCCCTGTGCTACACTTCGATGCTCCGAAAGAAACTCCACAGATAAATGCACAACAACCTGTGGCAGAAACTATGAAGACGCCCACCCATGATCCAAAAAACGGAAGGGATGGTGGCAAAGGAAGATCGCTCCTTGCAGTATTTCGCCCTTCACACAGCCCCACAGCATCATCCCCTCAAGCAGTTGAAAATTCAGCAATCGCATTCTTCAAGCCCTGCACGAGCTTGTGCGCCATTGCAGGTTTCGATCTGGGAGCCCCACCGCGGCGGCACACCTTTCTGTAAAGCTCTTTCAGCACACTTTCCTCCTCGCTGGCCAGAGTTTCCTCAAGCTCCAGCCATGTCATGGTCTTTTTGACTTTCTCATACCCATCCAGTGTGTGAAAAACTGCCATGCGATCAGGTGGTGTGAGCTGATCTTTGGTGTCTCCCAGTGCCACAGACCCATCTGGCATGTGCTGCGTGGAACCGGCTTTCAAAGGCGCACTCCTCACCCCTTCTGCAGCAATAGCACGTACTTCGGCCAAGAGAGCTTCTTTTTGAGCTTGAGCATCCCTGTCTGCCTTTTCTTTGCGGAGTGCTTCAAGCTCAGCTTGCAATCTGGAGCCCATAGCACTACTTTGGGGTAGATCCTTCCGGCTATACGGCGGTTCTTGACTGATGGTGAAGAAGAACTGGATGATGATGACATGGATCTGTTGCGTCGCCGCTTCTTGTCCTTTTTGCTCTTCCTGTCTTTTCGTGAGCTGCTGCGCCCAACATGATCAACCTCAATGCGGGCAGTCTGCGGCTGAAAGGGAGGGCGCTGAGACCCATCGCTCCAGTTTTGCCATCTTCCACCATTGGAGTTGCTGCCATACGATCGCTGGGACCAACCCTTACCACTATAGCCCCAGCCAGCATGCGCAAGCCACAAATGCAGGAAGAGGAGGGTCAAAACAAACTTCACCATGGCTGCTCAAAAGCTGTGCACAATTCCGCAAAGCCTATTGAGTAAGAGCAGCTCCGTCGCCACATATGTCCCTACTCATGTCTTTGAACATTTGGGCACAAACCACTGTTTTCATAAAAGCAATTTCTTCGTGAACCGAACTCTTGTACATGCTGAAAACCAAATTTCTCAAACGCCTTCGTCCAACATGTTGCCGTAAAAGGCAAACCATTTGAAAGCACAAATCTTCCTGCCACACTATTTCAGTCAGTTGCAGCTGCTGATATCTGGAAAGCCTTGCCCAAAACAAATTTCGTAGTCTTTGTTGGGTAACATCCCAGGGTGGAGGAATCCGGAAAGGTGTGCTCTTCAAACCTAGGCAAATAGTGTCCAAGTTGATTTCCATGTCCAGCCATGTCAAAGTGCGAGAGTTGGGGCCAGGGTCAAAGGGAACCTTGTAGATAAAGGCAGGAAGCGCACATAGACAGTCATAGCACCATGCACGTGAGAGAATAAGTAGATCATCAATGTATCTATACAAACAAGCAAGTTAGCCCATCGCACCCCAGGTATAAAGAAACCAGATTGCCGTTGAGAAGATACAGATGAAGTCCATGCACTCTCATCACACGCAAGTACATATCCAGAGGCCACGCGGCTGAGTAAGCCCCCAATCGGGAGACTGCTGAGTCTGAAAACCATGTTACCCACATAACAAAAACAAACCATGACAGAAGCCCAAAAACATTGGAGGAGGTCATCAAAGCAAAAGGTCACAGATTTTGGTCGAAAAAGGCCAGCAGTGCCACCGAGGAACCCGTGAACTTTTCGAGTCTTGAGAACTGTCACAGTGTTCTGACCAGTACGCGCAGAAACATCATGCATAATCTCCCGAACAGAAGCCAAGGCATCATGGGGTTTCACCATTTCAAAGAATTGACCGGCATCACAAACAACCCCATTCAAGTCACGCTTGAAATGCCCACACCGCTGGCAAGTGTTGCAACATTGCCCAGGTTGCAATCCATGGATATCAGCACGCAAATTGGTCGATGCACAGGACATGTCACGTACTTCGAATCCTTTACCAGAGGCTCTAAGGATGACATCCAAGCCGCGTCCAACAAACCGCCAATTCCTCCTGGCAGGCCACCTACAGTAAGAAATGACTTTGCGGCAGCATGAATGCCATAGTTTCCCACACACCCGGCCAGTACCGCCAAAGCATTTTGACTTCACTGTCACATACACATATGGAAGCCACATGATATCAGCATCAAGCTGCAGCCACCTGTGCAAACCCTCCGGGACAATGCGAAGTAAAGTCAAAGCAGTGATGACATTAGCTTCCTGGACAGAAAGAGGACACTGCTTCCATGTAGGCGCCAGGATGGCATACATCAGCAACATAGTAACATAGCAAGCAGGAGGTATCAACCACATGCAAGCACGGTCCTTGTCATCTGGGACCCGCACCAAGGAATCATCACACCGCATGTCATGAGTGTATGTAGCAAACTCAACATGGGACATGTCAAGGCGGCTGGCCGTTAAGGTATATGCACGAGATGAAAACAACTCGCGTTGTGCCTTTGCAGTTGGGCACTTGCAGCGACCCAGCCCTGACCAGCAACTCCAATTGTTAAGCAAGCCAACAATATCATGGCAAATTTCATATACCGTACGCCGCTTAGCAGTGTCAATGTGAGCTTCAACCTTCTTCATATTAAACCCAGACAGGCCAGCTGCCAGGGTGGCATCATCAAAATCAAGTGCGCTCCGGACATCTGCCTTGCGGGCAAACTGTGCATGCGACAGATCATCACGGAAAGTGCGCCGGTGACCCACGACCACACGCGTTTTCTTCAAGACCCATGTGCAAACGGATTTCGACCATTTCTTGCAGTTGCGCGCCATGGAAAAGGTAAGTCTACGAACAACACCAACTAAGTACTTCTCAGGCACCGTCATAGTGTACAATGCTTTGCTGGGAGCCCTTCGAGACGCAAGATTTGCCGCACAGCTGCAAAAGCCAACCGTCTCCTCCGAGGAGCATCAATGTTTTTGCAAAGGCCGTCCAAAACCACACCAACCGAGTCACATGCCCAAGCACGACGCAAACGACACAAGTCAAGTCGGCAAGACTTGCAAGACAACCAAAGTGCCACAAGTCGACGCTGGCCACGCTCGTACAAATTGACAGGGCCAAACTGGCCAAAAGCTACCCAAAAAATCTTCTGTTGGAACCTATAAGCCTCATGGAAAGACATGGACCAAAGAAAGGCATAACCATCATGTTGTTGTTGTCGCTGTCGTCCCCACAATAGTCTTTCAGCACGAGCCAACATCTTTTTCCACACAACACCGGACCATATAGATCCAACAGAAGGCACTCCAGGAGTAAGCCCTTTCTGACGGAGGCGGATAAATTTTGGAGGCCTCTTCCTACGCCTAGGAAACTTCACGCCGCAATGTTTGGGAGCTGCAGGTACAAAGTTCGCATTGGGTCGAAAAGACTGTATAAGCAAACTTTCGGCAGCGCGTATCATGGGCTCTTCACCACAATGTACCGGAAACCACAACGTCTTCCAAAGCGGCATCCGCCTGGCCAACTTGTATCTCAAAAAGCGTGCATGAGGGGCATGCTGCCGACGACAAAGGACCAAATGCTCAAACAAACGCTGGACCGGTCCAACATGTTCAGAACCTGTACGATGCAATCTAGCTATCCCAATGTATTGAAAACTCCTTGCAAACCAAAGATACAAGCAAAAGCCACGATCCAAGTATGTAGAAAAAATCTCCCGGTACCATGCAACCAGCTCCAAAGCATAATGAGTATCACCTATCAAAGCCATTTGTACATTCACAGTAAGCAGGGGCCACATACTTTTGGCCACCCTGCAATGCAAGTTTGCATGAAACCAAAACTTGGCACAATTCCCCGTGAAGCTTAAGCAGTTGAGGACCTCAAGCCAAACAAGGTCACAGACACGGCGGCAAAGATCTTCCAGCATCTGCTGCTCAAAGTGTATGTACTGATCAGGCCAGTCCCACTGAAAAGGCTTGCTCACTGCCGAGGTCACATTGACAGCAACCAAATACATGATGAATCCGGAGGATGCATGTACATACCATGTAGGGCCATACTTGTTAGTCACATTCTTGATCAAGGCAACCATGTTCTCAAAGAATACGCTGGAAAATGAATATGAAGATAAAGGACACGGAATATGGAAGAGAGGAAGCAAGCGAGCCAGAAAAAACCAGTATACTTGCACCACTCAGACTTCTCCAGCACCCGTAGCAAGGAGTCCAAACTCCCGACCGGTTTGTGCCAGGGATGCACTGTCTCAAGCGCTTTTACTCACTGTTTTTCTCTCCAGGCAGGGTAGCGGCCGGGGCGTCTGGACTTTGAGCACCGCATGGTACGACGTGGCCCCTAGCATGGTTTTCACCAATGCTTACCCTGGCTTTAAGCCAAAATGTAATTCACGAGATTCCATCGTGCAAATAAGTGAACGATATGTATGATGCAATCACAAATCAGGATGAAAGAAGCAAACCCAGCAAAGTGGGACAATTCAACTGGGCCGAGCATTCAGCTGATGACTCATGCCAAACAAATCGTCAACTAGCAGTGGATATCTCTGCACCAAATTTCTTTAAACAAACCAAATTGACAACACCTTCAGTGCTCACAAAATGGCCGTCGCACTAAAAGGTTCGTGCAAGGAAAAGGGGTTGAAGCATTGTGGCCACTGAACAAAAGGCTTCTACTTTGCAACTGCTTCCAGCCAAATCCGTAATCCAAAAGAGGACGTCTCATCAGAAAACCGGTGCATGCTGCAGATAAACACAGCGCTCTAGCCATATAGCCCGCATCATAGCCAAAGGTGTTGGCCAGAATAGCATTAGTCACTGGGTAATCAAAAGCAATGGTTTTCAGAGCAGAGAGGTATGGAATGGGCCAGATCTGGCCAAGGGCCCCTGTGCTACACTGCGATGCTCCGAAAGAAACTCCACAGATAAATGCACAACAACCTGTGGCAGAAACTATGAAGGTTTTGGAGCCTCAGATCTTCAGGTTTGCTGAGATGATTTTGCGTGACAGGTGCAGCACTTCGTATGACCTGGCATCACTTTTTCGTGGAGGGCTATGCCTGGGGCAGCTTTCCTTGCTATTTGCTGCATTTTGGAGCTAAAATCTGTGATTTGCATGCATTTTGAAGCTAGAATCTCCCCTGTGTGGCTTCTGTGGCTTGTTGGCTTCTGTGGTTTTTGCGGCTTTTGATGGCTTCTTGGATCTCGTAGCTTGTTGGCTTCTGTGGCTTGTGTGACTTCTGTGGCTTCTGTGGCTTTTGTGGCTTTTGTGGCTTTTGTGGGCTTTTGTGGCTTTTGGTGGCTCCTTGGATTTCGTAGCTTTAATGATTTAATATGTCCTTTCACAGCAGGGGCAGGCTGATTTAATACTTCATCATATGGATTTTTAACCGGCCCCCCTTGCTACCTACTCCTGCACCTTTTTTAAATAGCATCTTTTACATCTTATCTTTCTTAATCTTTATCAGTATCCATCGAGACTGCCTATGTGCTTCTTTCTTTGTACGCATTGCGGGGGGAGGCGCTGCGCCCTCCCCCCTGCACCCCCCCACCTGCTTTTATTTTTAACCGGCTCCCCTTGCTACCTACTATTCAACTATTCATTTTTTTCGTAAGCAGCATCGTTTATTTGGGTTCATCTTATCTTTATTGATATCCATCGATACTTGTGCCTATGTACTTCTTCCTTGGTACGCATTGCCGGGGGGAGAGACGCTGCGCCCTCCCCCATGCACCCCGCCACCCGCTTTTATTTTTAACCGGCTCCCTTTGTTACCTACTATTCTTTTTTTTCGTAAGCATCATCGTTTAGCTCAACCTGTAGCTCTCTCTGATCATGCAAAGAAATAGACATATGATCCAAAGTCAATAGATATATGAACAAGTGAAGAAGTAAGTAAAGATAGATTTAGATATAA